AATATGTCTAGAAATGCGACTCTATCAGAGTGAAATAAATAAATGGATAAATAAGCATATATATATATATGATATAATATTGTCATTGCTAATAAATCTTACGGTGTCCAATCTCCGTCCACCTCCGTAAGCGATTACGGGGGAACGCATGAAGCTGCCAGCCCCAACAGCAGCTGAAGTTGCTTCTTGAGCAAATGACTCGGCTAGGAGGCCCATTCCAACAACAGGGCATCGCCAAAGCCAAGGACTGGAGTCGAGGAGAGCGTCCCGAGCTGACAACAACCCAGCCAACCAGCGCAGCACGTAGCCAGTGGAAATGAGGCCAGATGTAGAACCAGTGCCACTGAAGCTAGTAGGTAAACAAGAGATAGATAAACCAGCACCGGTACCGATACTTATTGCAGCGCTACAGTCAATTGAAGTAGGAACGTGCGAGATGAGCCAGGTTCCTGAGGCAATTTGACTACCAGAAGAAGCCGTTGGACCAACACATGAAGAGCTCCCAGCATGCCCGTAGGTGACGAATGCATTCGATAGGAGGGCAACAGGGTCGTAGATTGGGCCACAGCAAACCAAAGCAGCCATTGCCTGGTTTGCGGCAAAGACCAATTCAGACCATAAGCAGTGCTCCCAAGTATCAACCTGACAGTGATAGTGAAAAACGAAAAATAACTAGAAACTCGTCAACAGACGGCAGCCAGGGGTTTGATTTTAAATCCAAGCAGATTAGGGAGAATTAAGAAAATACAAAAGAGAAAAAATATATTGAAGATATGAAGACCAAGATGAATTGGCCTCTGGTATGGTCACAGTCTCCTTTCGAGACCTGGATCAAGGATCTACCACTAACAAGAGGAAAAGGGATCGCGAGGAATAAACTGGAGGGAAGGGGTTTTGGGAAATAAAGCGAAGACGTTTGTCAGTGAGTGATGCCCATTTCGAATAAACCAGTACAACTTTGGAGGGCTGGCAGTCAAAGAGCTGGGCAGACGGATAAGCAAACCGTAACGGAAATTCGGCGTTATACCCAAAATACACTAGAAATCCACCTGAGATGCCACATGCGACCAGAGATAGGCGTCCACAGTTTGCTCATATAACTTGGGTTTAATCAAAGAGACGACCAGTGTAGGGAAGGCCTAATATCTGCAAGCATGGGATTCAGAGCTTAAGCGCTCCGCTTAGTGAAGCGACAGTGT